AGCAGCAGCAGCAGCAGCAGCAGCAGCAGCAGCAGCAGCAGCAGCAGCAGCAGCAGCAGCAGCAGCAGCAGCAGCAGCAGCAGCCACTGTTGCTGCTGTTGCGCATACATAGCAGCATTAGACCTAAGCAAGCTGTGCCTACAGCGGCAGCAGCAGCAAGTGCTGCAGCAGCAGCAAGTGCTGCAGCAGCAGCCGCAAATGTGTTACAGCAGCAGCAGCAAATGCTGCTCCTGCAGCAGCAAATGCTGCTCCTGCAGCAGCAAATGCTGCTGCAGCAGCAGCACTTTCTTAGTTTGTTTCCAACTTCCGCTTCAGGGAAGCCAAGCCAAGTTGACATTCATTTGTCACCCCGTAGTTGCTAAAGCCACAGCAGCAACAGCAGCAGCAACAGCAGCAACAGCAGCAGCAGCAACAGAGCAGCAGCAACAGCTGCGGCAACAACAGCAGCTGCTGCTTCTGCACATTAGTGGCCTTGTGTGGCTCCTCGCGCTCTCAGTGGAATTGAAACTTAGTTCGAAAAAGGCGATGCGTTGCTAGCTAGCTAGCTAGCTAGCTAGCTGGCTAGCTAGCTAGCGAACTAGCAAATTAGCTAGCTAGCCAGCTAGCTAGCTGGGCAGTAGCACAGCTAGCCAGCCATATAGCTGCTGCGCTAGCTGCGCATATCGTTGCACTTCTAGCCCGCTAGTTCTCCAGCTAGCTAGCCAGCCAGCTAGCTAGCTAGCTGGCTAGGCACGCAGCTAGCTAGCCACATAGCTAGCTAGCAACAGATACGTAGCTAGCCGCGTCGCTAGCCAGCTGCTTGGCTAGCTAGCTAGCTAGCTAAGCGGCCAGCCAGCTAGCTAGCTCCAAGCTGAGAAAAAGCTCCGTCTTGTCGGGCTCAGTCGAGCTGCCGAGAGCCAGCTAGCTAGCTAGCTAGTCAGCTAGCGAGGCAGCTAGCTAGCTATCTAGCTAGCTAGCTAGCCAGCTAGCCACCTAAATCGCAATGTAGCTAGCTTTAAAAAGCGCGCTCATCCGCGCCCGCCTGCCTCCCCAGCTAGCTGCTTCGCCAGCTAGCTCGTTGGTTAGCTAGCTAGCGAACTAGCCAACTAGCTAGCTAGTCGGTTTTGAAGAGGGCCTGTGCGTAGGCGTCATAAGAGGAAATTTGGATTTTGCTTTTGAGGAACTCGACGAGCTTGTCGAGGGGCACTTCCTCGTCCACAGCCTCCTGCTGCTGCTGCTGCTGCTGCTGCTGCTGCTCGCTGCTGCTGCTGCTGCTGCTGCTGCTGTGGAAAAGCCTGCGGACCCGCACGGCCCCGCGGGCCTTCTCGTCGGGGCCGCAAATAACAGCCCAAGGCATTTTGCGAGCAGCAGCAAAGTCCAATTGCTTCTTCAGTCTTGCTTCTTCTCCGTAGAACATTTCGCAGCAAATGCCCCCCCGCCACAGCAAACTCGCAGCAGACAACGCGTACCTGCAGCAGCAGCAGCAGCAGCAGCAGCAGCGGCAGCAGCGGCAGCGGGGGCGCAGAAGGTGAGGGGCGCCGCAGCAGCAGCGGGAAGGCGCAGCAACGCAAACTCGAACAAGGGGCAACAACCCGCATACGCACAAACGGGCAGCAGCAGCAGCAGCAGCAGCAGCAGCAGCAGCAGCAGCAGCAGCAAGTGGAGCAGCGGCAGCAGCAGCAAGAGGAGCAGCAGCAAATGCAGGGCTTACGGGAGCATTCCTTCTCCGATATTGCAGACGAGGACATCGGTGAAGTCCCTGCGGACGCCGTCTCCCAAAAGGCCGCTGCTGCCGCTGCTGCTGCTGCTGCTGCTGCTGCTGCTGCTGCTGCTGTCTGCTGCTGCAGCGCGAATGCCCACGCGCTGCTCGAGGAGGGCAAAGAGGCGCTCGACGCCGACGGAAAACCCAACAGCAGGAATTTGTTTGCTGCTGAAGATGCCGACGAGTCCGTCGTACCTGCCTCCGCCCGCAATGCTGCTGCTGCAGCAGGTGCTGCTGCTGCTGCTGCTGCTGCTGCTGCTGGTTTGCTGCAGCAGCACGGCCTCGAAGATCAGCCCCGTGTAGTAGTCCAGCCCCCGCGCCAAAGACCAGTCCCAAACAATGAAGTGGGAAATGTTGAGGGCCTGGAGGTAAACGAGAAGCTGCTGGAAGTCTGCTGCTGCTGCTGCAGCAGCAGGGTCGGCCAGCAGCAGCTGGTCCTGCTGCAGCAGCTGCAGCATGGAGGCGACGTCGCCGCGGCGGCGGACGTAGCTGCCCAGCTGCTGCACTGCAGCAGCAGCAACTCCCTTTTGCTGCTGCAGCTCAGCAGCAACAGCTTCCCAGGGTTCTTTGTCGAGTTTGTCGATGGAAGAACAAACAGCAGCAAACTGGGCTGTCTGTACACCGCAGCGCCGCAGCAACGCGTCCAGCAGCAACCTGCTGTTCACCTTCACCTCGAAAGACCCCACAAACGCCCCCAGCTGCTGCAGCACCTCCAGCAGCAGCAGCAGACACTCTGCTTCCGCCAACATGTGGGGTTTTGCTTCTCCCAAAATGTCAAAGTCGCATTGGTAAAACTCCCGAAAACGACCCCGAGACAGCTGCGGCTCGTCCCGCCTGTACACCTTCCCTATGTGGTACCTGCCAGCAGCAGCAGCAGCAGCAGCAGCAGCAGCAGCAAGTGCAGCAGCAGCAGCAGCAAGTGCAGCAGCAGCAGCAGCAGCAAGTGCAGCAGCAGCAGCAGCAGCAAGTGCAGCAGCAGCAGCAGCAGCAAGTGCAGCAGCAGCAGCAGCAGCACCGCAGCAGCAGCAGCAGCAGCACCGCAGCAGCACCGCAGCAACAGCAGCAGCAGCAGCAGCAGCAGGTCACCTGCGCAGTTTCTGGATGCCGTTGACAGCAGCAAACCTGGCGAGGGGGACAGTGAGGTCGTAGCGGAGACAGAGTTGTTCTCCTCCTTGGTCTTTTAATTCGAAGACAAGTTTTGCTGCTGCTGCTCCGTATTTGCCAAAGAGAGTCTCGCGGAGTTCAAAGACAGGAGTGTCCAGCTGCTGCGCGCCGTGGCTGCGGAAAGCAGCAGCAACTTGCTGCAGCAGCAGCTGCCGCAGCAGCGCGCGCTCGCCCCAGAAGTCTTGTGTCCCTTTGGGGACTTTCGGCAGCCGCCGCAGGCTGTTGCTTGCTGCCAGCAGCTGCAGCAGCAGCTCCTCCGTCCCCAGCCAGCTGCTGCACTTGCTGCAGCCCCTGCTGCTGCTGCTGCTGCTGGGGGGCGCAGCAGCAGCAGCAGCAGCAGCAGCAGCAGCGGGCAGGCACGCGCACTGCGCGCGCCGCGGCGCCGCCAGCGGCAGCTGCCACAGAGTTGCTGCTGCTGCTGCTACTGCAGCATTCGGCAGCAGCAGCGGAGCAGCAGCAGCAGCAAGTTCCCGCAGCAGCAGCGCGAAGCAACGCACCGGACGCGTCACGGGCCAACGCGCCCCGCTGCTGCTGCTGCTGCTGCTGCTGCTGCTGCTGCTCTTCTTTCCCCGCTCTATCTTTGCTGCTGCTTCCCGCAGCACCTGCAGGTCCCGGCTTTCTATGCACTGCAGCAGCAAAGCTGCATGCAGCCCCAAAGCTTGCTGCAGCAGCTGACACACGTCCTCCAGCCGCGACAGGCTCTCCAGCACCTTGCTGCTGCTGCTGCTGCTGCTGCTGCTGCTGCTGCTGCTGCTGCTGCGGGCCTCGGCCTCCGCGAAGGCCTGCTGCAGCCGCTCCACTCCCGCTGCTGCTGCTGCTGCTGCTGCTGCTGTCAGACGCGGCTCCCCGCCCTCCCCAAAGTAGGCCGCGTCAGCAGCAAGCGCCTCCGGCAGCGACTGCAGCGGCTGCTGCTGCTGCTGCTGCTGCTGCTGCTGCTGCGCCATCTGCAAAGTCTCCCGCAGCAGCTCCAGCTCCGCCTGCAGCAGCGCGCGAGCAGCAATTTCAGCTGCTGCTGCTGCTGCTGCGAACGGCGACGCCGCGCTGCTGAGCGGGAAGTCCAGCGTTGCTGCCACTGCTGCTGCTGCTGCTGCTGCTTCCCCTGCTGCTGCAGCAGCCGCCGCGCTGCCCTCCGGCGCGGCGTTCGCCGCCTCAATGGCAGCAGCAGCAGCAGCAGCAGCAGCAGCAGCAGCAGGCTTGGGCCTGGGCAGCTGCCGCTTGCATGCATCCTCAGCAAGCGCCAGCAGCGCCTGCAGGGGCCCCTGGAGGCCCCCTGCTGCTGCTGCTGCTGCAGCAAAAGCAGCAATGGCGGCCCCACAGTCTGCTGCTGCGCGCCGCTGCTGCTGCAGCTTGCAGTCGTGCAGCATTGCTTCCAGCTGCTCTGCTGCTGCTCGCAAGCCCGGTGCTGCAGCAAGAGTTTTGAGAGTGTCGGCCACTGCTGCTTGCGGCAGCAGCAGCACTTCTGCTGCTGCTGCAGCGCAGCAAGCCGCCAGCGTTGCTGCTGCTGCACAGGCCTTAGCAGCAAATAAAGAACGGCCTGCAACTTCTGCCCCATCTGTCAAAAAGAGACACAATTCATTAAAAGAGACTGTGGGGAGTTTTGCTGCTGCTGCTGCAGCACACAGCAGCGCCAGCAGACACGGCCGCACGGGCTGTCCCCAGCCTGCGGGGCCGCAGCGCGGCAGCAGCAGCCCGCCGCCTGCTGCTGCTGCTGCTGCTGCTGCTGCTGCTGGTGCTGCTGCGGACTCTGGCGGCGGCGCTGCTGCACTTGCTGCAGCAGCAAGGCCCTGCAGCAGCTCCCGCCGCACGCCGCTCTTCTCCAGGGAAAACAGACGCAGCAAAGACACAGCGCGAGCAGCAGCAGCAGGAAGAGCAGCAGCTGGCTGCTGCAGCACTCCCAGCTGCTGCACTTCTGCTGCTGCAGCAGGGGGCAGGCACAGGCGCAAATCCGCCACGCGCAGCATCCCCGTGCTGCTGCTGCTGCTGCAGCCGTTGGTCATCTGGCCGTTGCTGCTGCAGTTCTCATCGCTGCGCTTGCTGCTGCTGCTGCTGCTGCTGCTGCTGCTGCTGCTGCTGGCTGCATCCTCCGCCAGGGAAAACCCCCCCCAGCCAAAGGCGAAGCAGCTCACAGTGTCGCCGGTGAGGGGGCGGCCGCCCCCAACTACCAAACTGTAGTCCATTTCTTGCTGCTGCTGCTGCTGCTGCTGCTGCTGCTGCTGCTGCTGCTGTGCGCGCTGCTGCTGCTGCTGCTGAGGAAGCGTCTGGGTCGAGTGCTGCGGGGGATACCGCAGCGTTGATGCAGGTCTTGTTCTTGCTGCTGCTGCTGCAGCAGCTGCTGCTGCTGCTGCTGCTGTGGGGCAGGCGATACTTAGGTGTCTCGGCAGACAGCCGAAGGCGCGGCGGGAGCAGCAGGAAGCAAAGCAGCAAAAGGAAGCTGTATTGAAGCGGGCAAAAGCAAGAGAATAAATCATTAATAAAACAAACGCATTGGGTGCAAACCCTAAACCCTAAACCCTAAACCCTAAACCCTAAACCCTAAACTGCGCCACTGCTACCTGCCTGCCAGGGCGCCGACGCATCGATTAGCGAGCAGCCCGCCGCGCCGAAGACACAAATCTTTGCAAATTCTTCGCTCCCAATTCTTTTTTAATATAATTAAATGCATTTAAATGTTTATTTTAGTTCTAAAACGCGAAAAAAGGGCCAAAGAAACGTTACAATGCGCGCGAGAGCTGGGGTGTACAGACAGACCCTGCAGCTTTCCCAGCGACAGCGGAGCCGAGCGAGCGTCTGCTGCGCCTCTTTTTCCTCACTTTTGAGTTTTTTAAATGTTTAAATGCATTTATTTAATTTAACTTTCTTTAGTTTTGCAAAAAAAGGCCACTGAGAGCTGCAGCAGCCCGCAGAGCCGGCAGCTCATCACCTCGAAGCCGCGCCCACGAGCCAGGCTCTTCTGCTGCTGCTGCTGCTGTTCCCGTCGCTTCTATTTAGTTCTTTCCGTTAAAAACTGAATAAATAAACTGAAATTAAAAGAAATAAAAGTGTAGAGTGGGACTCCCGAGCTGCGCGCGCTGTTCGCCAATAGGCGCTCAGGCTCAGGTGTATGTACACCGCAGCTGCCCGTACACCCCAGGTGTACGTACACCTCAGCCTCCCCTCAGTCTTCCCCTAGGACGGCCTTCTGCTGCTGCTGCTGCTGCTGCAGCAGATCTTTTCCAGATCCTTCCAAGTGTTCCTCAGCAGCTGCTCCCCACTGAGGGGCCCCTCGAGGCCCTAAGAAGCCCTGCGCTTTCCCATTGCTGCCGCTTCAGCAGCAGCAGCAGCAGCAGCAGCAGCAGCAGCAGCAGCCAGGTCTGCAGCGCGCTGCAGCCTCTGAGGCCAGCCCCCCTAACCTCTAGGGCGCGGCCCTCCGGGGCCCCCTGGGGCCCCGTTGGCCATCTGGGGCCCCCCGGGGCCCCCTGGGGCCCCTGAGACCTCTCTAGGGCCCCCTGGGCCTTATGGGGCCCCCTGAGAGCCCCAGGGGCCCCCGGGGGGCCCCTGGGGGCCCCTAAGTACCTCTGGGGCCCCCCGGGGTTGTTGGGGCCCCCGAGGCCTCCTTTGTGCTGCAGTTGGCCCTGAAGCTGCTGCTGGGGGCCCCCAGGGCTGCGGTGTCTGCTGAGGGTTTAGTGTGGGGCCCCACAGGTCTCTTGGGGGACGCACACGTAGGCAGCAGGTTCTAAACCCTAAACCCTAAACCCTAAACCCTAACATATAGAAGAGAAGGAGAGGCAGCTGCAGTGGTAGAAGCTAAGCTAGTAAATGGTTAAATGAGATTTATGCGGCTGCGCGGTGTTCGGTAGAGAAAGAAAAGGAGACAAACCCTTTTTCAGGGTTTAGGGTTTAGGGTTTAGATATTAGGCTTGGGGTCTGCAGCTGCGCCTGCGGTGGCCACGCATGCAGCAGCTGAAATGAGGTGGCAGCCGCAGCAGCAGACCCTAAACCCTAAACCCTAAACCCTAGAAGCAAATAAAACAGAAGAGAACTTGAGTAGTAGAGTCCAAACCCCAAACCCTAAACCCTAAGCCGTGGATCCCCGCATGCCTCTGGCAGCTGCGCAAGCGTTTGCTTGCCGGCGCCATTGAGGGTTTAGGGTTTAGGGTTTAGGGTTTAGGGCTCCGCTCTGGCCAGTTTCTAAATGATGAAATGCTTGACTGGCCCGCCGAATTGTTGAACAAAAAAATTAACAGCAACAAATTAAGCACTAAATAATTTTAAATAATTAAATGAACATCCACCGCAGCAGCAGCAGCAGCTGCAGCAGCAGCAGCAGCAGTAGCAGCTGCTGCTGCAGCTGCAGCAGCAGCAGCAGCAGCAGCAGCTACTTCCTGCGGGCCACGCAGAAGGCGGTGGCGGCGAGCAGCAGTAGCAGCAAGGCTGCGAGCGCTGCCCAGAGGAGCACGCGGTCGGTGCTGGCTGCTGCAGCAGCAGCAGCAGCAGCAGCAGCAGCAGCATCTGCTGCTACTGGCAAAACCCCCGGGACTTTCTCCACCACGCAAATGTGTTCATCTATATATCCTTTTTTCTTGGCCACTTTCACTGGAGTTATTCGCCACCGATAGGCGGCCTGCAGTTCTGCCGGAAACGAAAACACGCTGGGGCCTGCAACACGCAAACCCTAAACCCTAAACCCTAAACCCTAAACCCTTGCGGCGCTCCGGGAGCGCCCGGCAGCTCCCGAAGAAGCGGCGCGGCCAAGACCGTGCTCGAGCTGCAGTTCAACGCCGTCGCTTGCGAGTGAGGGTTTAGGGTTTGGGCTCTAGGGTTTAGGGTTTAGGGTTTGGGCTCTAGGGTTTAGGGTTTAGGGTCTAGGGTTTAGGGTTTAGGGTTTAAGGTTTAGACTGACACTGCGCGGCTCCGTATTGCCCTGAGAATTGCTTCGCCCGGCAGTACCTGAGGACAAAGACAGGCAGAAACCCTAAACCCTAAACCCTAAACCCTAAGAGAGATTGAAAAGGCATTGAAAAGGCACCCGAGCCCCAAACCCTAAACCCTAAACCCTAACGGCTAGGGATTTCGGGTAGTTACGGCTTCGCAGCAAATGAGGGTCTGGCAGTGGGCTGTTCTTTCATGTCAGACCCTAAACCCTAAACCCTAAACCCTAAAGGTCGGGGGTTTGGGCCTGGGGAGCGGCAGTTACAGAAGGGCCCAGCTAGGGTTTGGCGCGGGCTAGGGTTTAGAGGGCCTAGGATTTAGGGTTTAGAGGGTCTAGGGTTTAGGAGATGTTAGGGTTTAGAGGGCCTAGGGTTTAGGAGATGTTAGGGTTTAGAGGGCTTAGGGTTTAGGGCATTTTAGGGTTTACAGGTTTTAGCGTTTAGGAAGAGGATAGGGTTTAGAGGGCCTAGGGTTTAGAGAAAACAAAAGGTTTAGAGGGCCTAGGGTTTAGGAGGGAGATAGTGTTTAAAGGGTTTAGGGTTTAGGAGATGCTAGGGTTTAGAGGGCCTGAGGGTTTAGGAGGAAGATAGGGTTTAGAGGGTCTAGGGTTTAGGAGGAAGAGGGTTTAGAGGGCGTAGGGTTTAGGAGGTTCTAGGGCTTTTAGGGTTCAGGAAAATGATGGGGTTTAGAGGGCCTAGGGTTTAGGAGATGCTAGGGTTTAGAGGGCCTAGGGTTTACGAGATGTTAGGGAGGATTCGGAAGCCCACAAACTCCCAGCAGAAACCACTGAGGGCCGAGCCGGAGTCTAAAACTTTTCCAGGGTTTAGGGTTTAGGGTTTAGGGTTTAGGGTTTAGGGTTTAGGGTTTATCGGGAGAGAGTGGGTGCTGTGGCGACTCCTTACGCCGCCTCCCGCGGAGTCCGCGCGCCGCCCGCTCAAAGCCAGCGGGCCAGTTCCCAGTTCCCAGTTCCCAGGGCCTAGGGTTTAGGGTTTAGGGTTTAGGGTTTAGGGTTTAGGGTTTAGGGTTTAGGGTTTGGACCTGCAGGGGGAGTGCGCGGTTTCGGGAATGCAAGTCCCCGGGTAAGAAGTGTAGAAGACACAGTTCGGCAGCAGCGCAATTTGCTCTTCAGTGTCGGGCATCATTTCCACAGAAGCAGCAGCAACTTGGCCAGCAAACAGCGCGGGCGAAGCTGCTGCTGCTCGCAGCTGCAGCAGCGACCCTGCTGCTGCTGCTGCTGCTGCTGCTGCTGCTGCTGCTGCTGCTGCTGCGGCGGGGGCGGGGGGGGCGGCTGCAGCAGCGGCGCGCGCAGCGCGGGGGCCACGCGACGCAGAGGCCTCCAGCAAGCTTCCCCGCTGCTGCGCAGAGTCCTGCTGCTGCTGCTGCTGCTGCTGCTGCTCGTGTTGCTGCTGCTGCTGCTGCGGCTGCTGCTGCTGCTGCTCGAGGTAGAGTTCTGGCTGTGCGCCTATGGGGCTCTGGACGAAGCTGTGGCCGGCGCTGCTGCTGATTGCCAATGGATCTGCTGCTGCTGCTGCTGCCTCAGCAGAATCAGCAGCAGCAGCAGCAGCAGCAGCAGCAGCAGCAGCGAGTCCTGCGTCTGGCAGAGGGCTGAGGCCCCCGCCGCGGCTGCTGCTGCGGGCAGCAGACCTTGCCTCTGCAGCCACGATAAAGGGGCCCCCAAGAGCAGCAGCAGCAGCAGCAGCAGCAGCAAGCAGCAGCAGCGGCAGCAGCCCTCGAGCTGCCATTTTGCTGCTGTTTCTTCTGCTAGGCTCGGCCGCCGGAGTTAGGCGAAGGCCCATTGCTTTGCTGCAGCAGCTGCTAAGCCACCTTAGGCTCAAACAAGCTGTTGCTGCTGCTGTTGCTGCTGTTGCTGCTGCTGCTGCTGCTGCTGCTGCTGCTGCTGCTGCTGGTCTTTGCGTCCGCACTCCGCGGCAGCTGGCGGGGGCACCTCTGGAGAGCCGCGGTCGAATTGCTGCTGCTGCCACTAGTGCTGCTGTTGCTGCTGCTGCTGCGGCCGCTGCAGCTGCTGCTGCTGCTGCTGTCACTGCTGCTGCTGCTGCTGCTGCTGCTGCTGGCTTGTGGGAGGAAAGTGCGAAGCTTGTGCAGGGCGGCCCCTCGGGTGTCGCTCTGCCATCAGTTTTTCTCATTTTGATTTGGTTTATTTCAAAGTTAGGGCCCCAGCTCAAGGGTTTGGGGCCTAGGGTTTAGGGTTTAGGGTTTAGGGTTTAGGGTTTAGGGTTTGGGCCCTTTGCTGCAGTTGGCTCGGTGATGGCTCCGCGGCGGCAGGCGCCGGCTGTGGTGCCTTCTGGGTTAGACACTTTAAATGCAAATAAGCCTTTAACAAAAAGAAACTAATTTGCTGCTTTTTCAGTGAGAAATGCAGCAGCAGCAGCAGCAGCAGCTGCTGCTGCTGCTGCTGCTGCTGCTGCTGCTGCTGCAGGCAGCCGCGCTCTTTCGAAGGACCGCCGACACGTCGATAGCTCTGGGCTGGGGCTTGTCTCTGCTGTCTGTTGCTGCTGCTGCTGCAGCAAAATGATTCAATTGGATTTAAAGTTTGAATTTTATAATTTAATTTAAAACAATTTATTTATTTGCTTTCTTTTTCAAGGCCCTTTGCTGCTGCTGCTCACCAGGCAGCGCAGCCGCCCGCGGCAGCCGCCAGCCAGCTGCTGCAGCGCACGGGAGGCCAGGGGGCCCCCCGGGGCCTCCTTGCGGGTTTTTTTCGAATAAAAATATCTTTTTGTGATTTCTTTTAGTAATTAAATTAAATTGTGGTTTTAAATCTGCAAAAAGCGCAAAAATTCGACCCTAAAATGCAAATTTCGCGCCGCCGACTGAACAGTGACCGGTGGTCCACACCACGTTCGTGAACCAAGAGGCAAAAAGGGGCAAAATGGAGGTGAAATTAACACTCTGAAGAAGTAAATAAATTAAAATTAAATAAATATGAATTAGGGGATGAAAAAAGGGATTAAAAGGAGAGGCGTTTAAGCAGTTTCGAAGCCTTTTGGTGTATGTACAGCGCGCAGCCTCAGGTGTACATACACTGCAGCAGCCAGCGCGTGCTGTTTTTTTCTAAATATTCCCTTAGTGCCATTTTAGAATTAAAAATGGCTTTAATTCACCTTTTAATTGCAATTATTTCTAATTTTGGGGCTTTCTAATTGCCAAAAGATGCAAAATAGAAATAATTATTCAAAAAAAAGTTGAAAGTGCATGCAGCATCAGCTGCCTACGGGGTGTATCTACAGGCCTTGCATGCATTTGGGCTCTTTTTTCGGCGAATTTGGTGGACAGAAATGTTTTAATGAATTTAAAGTCTTCGAGGAGGAAAAAGAAGACAAAATGAATTGTTTTTGTTTGTTTTGATTGCACAAAATGCACTTGTTTGATGTCTTATTGCAACAAAAATGAAAAAGACATGCATGCAACAAAGTTAATGTAGTGCAGACGAGAAAAGAAACAAAAAAAGAGAAAAAGAAAGGAAAAGATGAATAAAATAAAAAGGCTTTAAAGGAGATTAAAACGATGAAGGAATATAAAAGAAAGAAATGAAAAAGAAAAAGAAAAGAGAAGAAAAAGATAAAAAGATAAAAAGAATTTAAAATAAGAATCAAAAGAAGACAAAGGGAGATTAAAAAGGAAAGAGCAAAAAGCAAAAAATGAGATGAAAGAAATAAATGGAGATTAAAGAAGATAAAAGAAAAAGAGACAAAAAGATAAAACAGAAAAAATAAATAAATTGAAATTAAAGAGACAAAAGGGGAAAAAAGAGGTGAAGAGAAAAAGAAGAAAATAAAAAAAAAAGGGCAAAAGGGACAAAAAGAAACAAAAAGAATGAACTGCAACAAAGAGGGAAAGAGGAAACAAAAGCAAAAAAATAAATTAAGAAGAGGCGGATGCTGCATGCAGCAGCAGCAGCAGCAGCAGCAGCACTAGCAGCAGCAGCAGCACGAGCAGCAGCAGCAGCAGGAAGATGACCCGAAATGTCGAGACAGCAGGCAGGGGACCTGCCGCGAATCAAGGAGACAAAAAGGAGCAGCACAGACGCAGGGAAAGAGCAGCAGCAACAGCAGCAGCAGCAGCAGCAACAGCAGCAACAGCAGCAACAGCAACAGCAGCAGCAGCAACCGCAGCAGCCGCAGCAGCACGGGCGGCCAGTTCACGCAGAGGTAGAAGCCCTCTACACAGGGACTTTGCTGCTTCTATTCAAAGTCTCTCTTTTGGCGTTTTATAAATTATTTTAATTCTTTATTTTTTAAAAAGTATTTAACTTCCGTCTCTGTCATTTATATTCTTTAATGGTCTTAAATGGCTTTTTTATTCAGATTCATTTTGTCTTTTTATCTCATTTAGTCTGGGCAAAGTGCAAAGAAGTTGGAAAACAAAAAATAATAAAAAGGAATTAATTTGCAAATAGTTTTGAAGTGAAGTAAAGACTAAAAGGATAGAGTAGCAGCTCGCGGCGGGGGGGTTGGGGTGTACGTACAGCTCGGAACGGGGAAAACGGACTTCCGAGTTTCCGCGCGAAATAAATTCAAATTAAAATAAAAATTAAAAATTAATAAAACACTTTTAAAGAGGATCATTTTAAGGGGTCACACTGCAGGGTTTCTGGAGAGTCGAAGACACGGCGAAAGCCCCGCATGCATCCGGCAGCTGCTGCTGCTGCTGCTGCTGCTGCTGCGCGCTTGTTCTGCGCTGCTGCAGCGCCAAATGCAAAAAGAACTGCAAAAGTCTTCAGTTTTATACAATTGCAAGTCTGTGCAGCACAGAACAAGGCCTGGGGGGCCCCGGACTTGGCAGCAGCAGTTGCTGCCGCGCTGCTGCTGCTGCGCACGAGCTGTACATACACTCCAGCGCCGCGAAGCGCAACTTGAATTTATTTCCTTTCCTTTCCACTTCCAGTGTCTTCTTCCCTGGGGGCTCTGCGGCGCCTGCGGCAGCGCGTGGCTGCTGCAGTTGGTTTCGGGCTGGCGCTGCAGCTGCTCGCTGCTGCTGCTGCTGCTGCTGCTGCTGCTGCTGCTGCTGCTGCTGCTTGCTGCTGCTGCGGATCTGCGGCGGACCTGCCGCTGCAGCGCGCGCTGCGGAGTGTGCGGCCGTTCAACTTGCGCGGCATGCATGCGGGCAGCTGCACTTGCATGCGGGGCCAGGGGGCTCTGGGGGCCTGAAAAGCCGGCTGGATCTGCATTTTGGAGTTAATATTTATTGCAAATTCCATTTTAAATTGCAATTAATGTTTTGGAATTGAACTGGCGGCGAAAATGGCGCTGCGGGGCCGCGCGCGCGCAGCCGCTCCTGGGGTGTATGGACACCTCCTGCTTGCAGCTTTCGCCGCCTTCCTGCATGCAAAACCGCCCGATCCAAACAGCACTTTTAAAAATGTTTTTCTTTTTGGAATTGGAGTTGAAGGATCTTTGAATGTGCATCCCTGCGTGGCGGACTTTTTGGTGTCTTCTTTGCGGGACTTGACGTACGTGACTGTGGACCAGGTGCTTCCTGAAAAGGCAAGTTGAACTTCGCGCGATCTCGCTCAATTTTGCGTCTTTTTCTTTCTTTTTTTGCATTTCCGGATCCATTTTTGCAAATGCGTTTCATAAATGCCGTTATTTCCGCGCTTTCCGCGTTCGCAGGTCGTGTTTCCCGTCTGCGACTCCACCTCCGGCCCCGCCTGCCCCCACCTGCGCTTCCCGCCGCTGCTCCCGGCCCTCCAGCCCCCCCGGGGCCCCCTGGGGCCCCCCGCCGCCCAAGCGGGGGGCCCCTATTCCGCGCACCTGCACCGGCCGGTGCCCGCCGCGGGCGGCTTCCCCAGCAGCAGCAGCAGCAGCAGCAGCAGCAGCAGCAGCAGAGGCGGCGGGCCCAGCTGCTGCGGCTGCAGCGGGACACGCAGCAGCAGCAGGAGCGGGAGCGGGAGCGGGGGGCGGCACGGCTGCAGCGCCCGCTGCAGAGGCCACCCCAGCAGCAGCAGCAGCAGCAGCAGCAGCAGCAGCAGCAGCAGCAGCAGCGAGGCCGCTGCCGCTGACGGGCCCGCTGGCGGAGGCGCTGGGGCCCTCTGCTGCTTCGCAGGCTTTGCTGCTGAACCTGCGGGGGCCCCCGAGGCCCCTGGAGACCCACGTGCTGCTGAGCAGCCTGGAGGGTACTTTTGAGTTTGCTGCTGCTGCTGCTGCTGCTGCTGCTTTCGTGCCCCAGGGCATTTGGGTCGGCGCAGCCCCCAGGGCCCCCGCAGCAAGCTGCAGCAGCGAGGCCCTTGCTGCTACTCGCAACTTGCTGCTGCTCGTCCAGGGACTGCAGCACGAAGAAGTTCTCTTCACAGCTCAAGTGCCTCTCTACGCCCTTTCCCCCCTCTACTCGGGGCCCCCGGGGGGCCCCCCCCCACGCTGCGCTTCGTGAACGCCCTCGACTTCGCGAAGGGCAACACTCTCCACCGCATCGAGGCCCTCCGCTTCACCTACGCCTACGAGGGGGCCCCCCAGGGGGGCCCCCCTGGGGGCCCCCCGGGGGGCCCCCCGGGGGGCCCCCCTGAGGGGGCGGCCGGGGGGGCCCCCCCGGGGGCGTGGGGCGAGGGGGGCCCCGGGGGGCCCCTCGGGGGGCCCCCCGAGCCCGTGACGTTCCGGAGGCCCCTGAGCTGCTCGCCGTACTTTGCTGCAGTGGGGGCTTTGCAGCTGCTGGTGGCGGAGAAGACTTGGAGCAGCAAAAGAGTTTATTTAGTTGATGCTGCTGCTGCTGAAGAGGGGAGAGCAGCACGAGCGCGGGCGCATGCAGCAGCAGCAGCAGCAGCAGCGCGGGAGGCGGAGAAGCGGGCGCTGGCGGAGGCGCGCGCGCCGCTGCTGCAGCAGCTGCTGGGCAGCAGCAGCAGCAGCAGCAGCAGCAGCAGCAGCAGGAGGGGCCCCCGCATCGAAAACCTGGGGGCCCCCCTCAGAACAGATTTATTTCTCGGAGACGAATCTGCTGCTCAGAAGGAGGGGGCCCTTTACGTGGGCGTGCTGCTGCGGGCGCAGCCGGAGTGGGACTTGCTGCTGCTGGAGCCCAGCCCCTTCGCGCCCGCTGCTGCTGCTGCTGCTGCTGCTGCTGCTGCTGCTGCTGCAGCAGCAGCAGCAGCAGCGCGGCTGCCCGTGTCTTGGCAGGAAAACAAAAGAATAAAGTTCGGAAGGTTCGACTCTTTGCCTTACCAGTTTGCAGACCTTCGGAGGCCCCTCAAAAGGGGGGCCCTTTACCTCCAAGACCTTCCTGCGGAGGCCCCCGTGCTTTCGCTGAACCAGCTTTCGCAGCTCAAGCTCGTCTTCTTCAGGAAGGTTTGCTGCTGCTGCTGCTGCTGCTGCTGCTGCTGCTGCTGCTGCTGCTGCTGCTGCTGCTGCTGCTGCTGCTGCTGCTGCTGCT